AGTGTGGGAGAACGGGGTAAAGTATACTGATTCCATACTACAGTAACATATCTTTACCTATAGATTGACCAAAGAGAAGAATAAAAACGAAAATGTAATTTAGACAAGTATAAGAAAATGACGATGGAACTTACACGTATAAAACAGTAAATATTGAGTTGGGCAAGATAAATGAGGAAAGAAGCTGTACTACGAAACGATTAAGTATAAGGTAACAGAATATAGAGTTTATCTTTGCGTAGCCCAATCTCCAATCCCTTATTCAGAAAGTGTCACTCCGCTTTTTCCTGATGAGTTGGCTGTAGAATAAATATTGGCATGAATGTTAAGCCTCAGAATAATGGCATGTGACGTATCATTCGTTCATACAATCCATGTTTCTAAAATAACCCGAGAATCTTTCATCACATTCCAAAATAACGCACTCAACAATTATTTCACGCCCCGGCCGCTAGGCGCCACTACCATGCAGTAGTTACCCCCAACTTCCGTCTGCTATCCTTAAGATGGCTCTGGCTGCATTATATGGCAAAATTTTATACGTATACATTCTTTCCATTACATGTATATAAAATAGAGAGTCTGTGTCTTTATATCCGTCCAAATATTTCATCTCCAGAACCATGAAACGGATTTTGTTTCATGTTCGGTAGTCTAAATGTGGTAATCTGTCTGGGTCCAACATATGAACTGGCATAGTTCAGTCGGTAAAGTGACTGGCTTTATTTATCTTTGTTTATTCAACGACGCTTGAAGGAACTCGTATTATTTTGAGACAAATGACAGGATGAAAGGTGAGTAATTAATTCGGAAGATAATGAAAGAAAACGGCTGTTGCCAAATTTAAGATGTTATTCCGAAATTTGCATGTGAAAACTGATGAAAACCACAAAAACCTCAATCAGGATAAATTGTTTCCTATCAACCACACAACAGGAATGCTAACCACTAGACAGCAGCGCAATTTTACAGTGCGCTAAAATAAAAGTTCATAATTTTTCTCGGCTCAGAACGACAATTCTTTAAACATTTTCTGGCAGACTACTTCGTACAATTAACTAAATCTATTCGCACTGACAGACTGTTCTGATAGTCAATAAATTCCTCGCTTTTGTGAAACTCGACGGTTCATTATCGTGGTTAGGAGTATTCGATAGTGGTCCCTATTTCGAGTCAAAGGAATCCAATTTATACTTCAAACCCTAATGTTTTAAGGCCTATTTTAATATAGTATTATCCTCCCATTTACGCCCAGGCCTTTGAAGCGGCCTATTTTAATATAGTATTATCCTCCAGTTTACGCCCAGGCCTTTGAATAAATCCTGTGGGTTTTACTTCTAAAACTTTGTATACCTTTTTCATACCCTGCACACGTTACATGTCCCGCCCATTGTCACTGATTTAATCACCCTAACGACACTTAGTGAACAGCACAAATTATAGAAATTCTCACGTCTTCTCCTCGGCATATTGTCTCCAAACACTCTCATCCCTTATTTAATCTTCTGACAGACTAAATGTTATTCCCCTACCAGCGGATGTCACACAATACAGAATGTCCCATAACGATGTATACACGCATTCAATGAATTAAATAAAGACATTTTAATAAACTAAAATATTACATACGTCAGCGTCGTAACTTAGTGAATTAGCGAGTCTACAGTTTTTATTATTATTATTAGTGTTCTGTCTGACGACAGGTCCATATGAACAGATTCCTTCCATCCTTTTCTCGGACTGGGACCTGTTCATATACGTTCTTGGTAGATGATCCAGAAGTGGTTTGCCATTGCCTTCTTCTGTGTGTGAGTGGAGTAATTGTTGGGATGCCACGGAGAAACCGGGGAAGCCCCCGGAGGAAAACTCCGTGTTGCCTAGACCACGGCCTTGCCCAACACAAGTTATAAATTCGGGCACCGCCGGGAATCGAACCCGAGACCCCAGGATTACAAGGCCAGCGTTCTAACCGCTAGACCACCGTGGCGGTGAATCTACAGTAGGTGTTCAAAATGACCACAATAGTTTACCCTAGGTAAAATAATGAACTAGGTTTCACAACACACGGAGATCGACAACAAGGTTAATATTCCGTATTATAATGTGTGTGTATATCTTTTCGAAACATTTCGTATATTTAATAATTCTTCGAATTTGCACTATCATCGAAAGTTGTTTTGTAAATGATTTAATGTTTTACTTAACAAAACGTCTGCTTCTTTATTTAATGACGCTTTCAATAAAATTATTGTAAATGATGATGACAGAAGACGGAGAAGGTGTTCCCTGCTATCACAGAATTTGCCAGAACGAGAAAAACACGGACGTCAGTCAATAAATCGACTTCCGGGTTCATAAGAGGACGCAGCTCTCCAGATTACGAAGCTGTTGTGGTGGTCACTATGCCTAGAGATCGATCCCTGTGTTAAGTGATTAAAAAGGCATGATGGGCAGGGCATGTGGAATGAAGCGATGAAGGAAGAAATACATCCTGCTATTTAGGAAAATAAAGCGTGCAGGAGAAGGTAATATTAGATTATATCTTTCAGAAATATGTTGTTAATTCTATAAGAACTTGTCTTAGGACATGTACCCAGTGGCTGACTTTACAGAAGAAATTCATGAAACTTCGAAATCCATAAAATCAAGAATTTTTCCGATAAATTCAGTAAGGGTTTAGTGATCACCTTACATTGTAATTAATTTTATATTATGATTTATATTCTACTAATTCTTTATCTTTCTTTATATTAATTTACATTTTACTCTATCTTCTGTCTTCGTATTCGGTCACGTTTTTCTTTATGTATGTACGATTCTAGCTACTAGTCTTACATACAAAGTAATTCTCCTTTTGATATGAAAGCAATTCTTTTTTGTATTCAAAACAAACAACAGAATGCCTGTAACCATAACAAACATTTCTTACATCTCAAGTACGTGCCATGGAACACGTGACTATCCAATAAATTTCTGTAACATATACAGACCCTTTCAGAAGAATAATAGCGAAAGCACACAGTTTCGAGCTAACCTGAAGCAATTTTAATACTAGAAGAGAAATTTCAGGGATTTTCATTAAAAGGATACCAGAAGTTCCTTTTGTTCCGAGTAAAAAAATAATAATTTTGTGGTTTAATGTAAAAAAAGGAGAAAATATGCTAAGTCACCCCCCCCTACACACACACACACACAGACAGTGGATAAAGTACATATCAGTCATATTCTCAAAGCCCCCCCCCCCCCCTACACACAGAGACAGTGGATAAAGTACATATCAGTCATATACTCAAACTTAATTTAGTTTCAATCCACGCCAGAAGACAGCCTGCCACGAATGAATGAAATGAAAATTATATCCCAATCTAAGGTTATTTAACAACGATCTTTCAGTGCAGAAAGTGGTTAATGTATGATTGAGACTTCCGATTCTCAAGGTGGTAAGTATGGCGCTGTCTTCTGGGAAGTTGCGCCCTCTAGTCTGGTACAAATTTACCGACGTCTCAGAGGTGCTTACCGCCTCCATTATCAGGGTGGTCCTAATGATGGAGACAGCAAGAAACTTAATTAATATTATTTTCTGTTTTTTTTTAAGAAATATTTTCTGCTGCATAGTTTAAAGAGAGTAAATGTTCGATGTCTTCGAATTTTGTTAGGTCACAACCGTTTTCACTCTTCCTTGTAAACATCACTTTTTTATTTCGTACTATAGCACGTGTTCGAAATGGTGACCTTCTTGGGCTGAACATGCCAACAAACATCCTCGCTGTCTTTCTCCCCCCCCCCCCCCCCCAACACACCATCATGTTATGAGTTATTCGACACATTCATTTCTGAACGTAACTGTATTCCATTAGGCCTACAATATTTGTCAAAAGTCCGTATACAATCAAACCAGCAAGTGGCTCTTAGTCGGTTAATGCACAGCATATATTATGGTAGTGCTATATTTCCATACAAAGAGCTTGAAATGACCAACTTACGAGACTTTAATAGGGTTTCGAGGGACTGTGTAACATAAATGCCAAGGCCTTTAAATTGGGGAGAATTTTGAAAGGATCGGTCATGAAGCAGGTTCAATTAATGTATTAACTGAATAAAAATTTTCTTGGATATTATCCATCGTCTAGTAAATATAAAACGTAAAACGACGTTTCGGAGATGGAACTCTATCTCCGTCTTCAGGTTCCTACACAGTTGGGCCCACTAGATAGAGCTATCTCCGGAGATAGGGATAGAGTCCCATCTCCGAAACGTCGTTTTACGTTTTATATTTACTAGACGATGGATAATATCCAAGAAAATTTTTATTCACCATCGTCAAGAAGTTTTAGATTTGATATAATGTATTAACGTTGACTGGATGGAATAAAGAAAAATTCGACGAACCCCTGACAGGTTAGCATGTCACCGAGCGGAGATTCGAACCCAGGCAATTCGGAACATGAAGCTTTACTAGAATAGTTGCTGAAATAAGATGTTATATTCTTCGTTTTTCAAAGTGTTAGCTTGGCTAACGCAGTTAACACAATTAACATGAACGCTCCACCACTGGCGTACTGCAAGCCATCAGTGTACTTCTGCAGTAAACCCGATTCCATTTTCAGGCAGTTTGTACGTACATTTTGACGTTTGTCTTCTAAATAATTGGATACAGTGTACGGGAGGTAACAGAGTCTAGTAAAAAGAGGTATTACCTCAGTTGGGATTCACGTGAGGCTGTTTATATAGGGCATCTGTCAGCAAACATTCTCCAGTAAGAAGAGAACTGGGTGCATGTTCGTTTACATCCTACGAAAAAAAGTGCCCGAACAAGAGTTTGATTGTTTTTCCAACTACACGATTTCAAGAAATACAAAAGTGTTGTGACATCTAGCGGCATCATATTTACACAAAGCTTCACGAAAATACGTCAATTGCTTCCAAAGTTATTGAGGACACGGCCACATATCTTTTCTTAGAAAATACTGACGATGGTGAGTGAATGAGCTAGCACTTACCTTCTTCGTCACAGTGTAGATGGTCTGGTGCTGTTTTCTCTTCTTGAAGCTCGGCCACTCGGCACCCAGCAGGCCCGTGTCTCCAAATCGCTCCAGCTGACTCCAGTCTTTGCCGCGTCTCCGCAGCGCGTAGTATCGATACACGACAATCGTCATGGCCACGACAAGTGCCAGCCCAGTACCAGCAGCAGCTCCCAGCACCGCCGAGGTCACCATCCTGTGTGAAAGTTTCGTTAACCATTTGAGATTTGACTTCGAGATATCTCGCAGATGAACTTCGATACGTTATTGACAGAGTCGATATCCCTGTTGGTGGAGGCAGCAAGCACCAATTAAATGTCCGTAAACTTCTACCAGACTAATCGCTAATAAACTCACTTTAAATTTAACAAATTACAATTTGTAATCAATATAAATAATTTAATTCCAGTGTAGTAAACTCTTTTCTATATTTGCTGAGGTTGGCATTTGGCACGTGAAGGTTATGTTTGCATCTTGTATTTATATTGTGTACATTTGAATTTCTTTAAAACTTTTCCTTGTTGTCCATTACAAATGACGATAATGAAAATAAGAATTCACTAGTTAGCTGTAGAATATTTAATGTCTTAAATAATTCCCTATAGGAGACTCTCCCTTTAAAGCCAGCCATTATTCTGATGTTTTTTCTTTCAGACATAGAATATTTTTCTGTCTGTTGAATTTCCCAGAATATTATTCCATATGTCATAAATGGAAGTATAATGTAAAGTAAAGTAAAGTAAAGTAACACTGTCCCACTATACGCCATGTAAGCACTTGGGGGGGAGTTATAGCTCCTACTCATTCTTAACCTTGGCAAGAGACGAGGGTGAGTGGTCAGCGTCACGCTCCGGCCGCACTTTACCCACTGGAAAGGACGCCGATACCCATTGGATAGGAGGCTGGGTGAGCCACAGATCCGGTCTGGGAGCAGAGACTAGAGTAAAAGTCCTCTGCCCCCGTCGGGGATCGAACCCCGGTCGTCATGTACAGAATTTAATTTTAATAAAATGTCTAATTTTAATCGGTTTCATTGAAGAAGCTTCCAGCGCAGAGGCAGAGTTCTGTGAATCGTTCGTCTTCTTGAAAAAATAATCCACAGATGGTTGGGTTCTAGCCTTCTTCATTTCAGTGAGGACTTCCTTGTGGCAGCGAAGATCAGCTTCCACATTGATTTTATCCCAAAGACAAGTAAATACGGGGGGAAATCGTCAATGTACTAAGAGATCGTGAAACAAAATGAGTGCTGTCGATAGACTGAATCGTGAGACGTCTTTTCTCCGTGAGTCATATTTACGAATGCCGCGTGGGTACAAGATCGACGGATGAAAGAAACCGACGAAGGATAACGAGGGAGTATTCCGCTCTGGAGATTTAGAACATTATCTGAGCTCAGTATAAAAATCAAACAGATTGTGACATTCTTTGTTTCTGTTACAAATTCCCTACTTATACAAACTGGTCGAAAAGTCGCGCGTCCCATTTTAAATTATGTATTAATGCTTGAAATTTAATGTAATTGGACTGTATTAATAAACACATAGTATCGTTGCGAGTTTACAAGAGTCCACGCAGGGCACATCATGTCGTAACCTGCTCGCGCCAGTTTGTCTACAAACAACCGAGGTGTAAGATCTTTTTCACAAGCGCATCGAGTGTTCACTGTCGAACATTATGTGGCTTCTCGTTCTTATTTAACTTGACAGAATGAGTGTAGGGATACATTTCCTGATTCACCTCTACCCATCAAATCGATATTATCTCATCTGATGTACCGTTTCCGTGTCACAGAAAGCTTGCAAAACAGAAACCGTTACGGTAAACCTTTGATATTAACTGATAATAGTTTGGATGATATCCGTCAGACATTGTTAATGGGCTCCTTAAAAGTCACTGAGAAAAAACTGTCTTGAGAGTGGATTATCCTACAAAAGCGTACTTAAAACTACAAAGATTTTAAAACTCATCCATAAACTCAAGGAACCTGATAAGGAAAAAATGACATCAGCAATGCACACGGTTTATACACTTCATTCGAAAATGTACAGACATTTTTGATAAAGTTTGCTACGCTGATGACGCATGGTTCCACGTAAGTGGATAAGGTGATAATAAAATAGCCGAATATGGGGTGCTAAAAATCCGCGTACCTTCCAAGAAAATTCAAAGTGCTGTGTGCAATCTTTCGACGGAGGAAAATTGGACCCATTTTCTTCGTGAAAGGAAAATAGCTAAACGTTACCAAGAATTTATTATGAATTCCATGCCCCTTTTGGAAGTCGATTAAGAAGACTGCTGATTTTAGCAAGATGGAGCTGAAGTCGTATTATTTTTCGAAATTTGTGTCCCCCTCAGTCCCCTGATCCATCGCCAGTGGCTTTCTGAAGCAAAACGTGTAAAAAATAACCCGTTAACTTAAGAATTTAAACAAAATACTGAGCTGTACGTTTAAAATGTTAATGTAGAGACGCTTCACTGTATAAAATATGAGGAAAATGGTGAATGCATGTATCGCTCAACGCGATAAAATTACGTTTTGTGATTTAACTATAATTCATTTTTTTTACAAACAGAATAAGTGTCACGAATGTGTTACGTGGTTTTACGATCACTCTGTATTAATTGTTAAGATTTAAATTAAAATTTAAGCCCACTAAACCAACGTATAAACTCAGGAATCGAGCCTGCTTGTTAAATAAAAAACCATCACTTGTAAATTGTACAATAATTAATATTAAAGTAGACTTTAGTCGACAAAAAGCAACATTTTATACGAGAAATGTTCCGAAGAGTGGGCCTACAATTTCACAAAACTTGGGTCTGATGTAAGATGTGCGTATCTGAAGACTTGTCAAGGCATTCAGACATTATTACAACGTCCTTTATTTCATTAAGCAACATGGTAGACGCTTCATCGTCATTGAGCCTTTGATACATGTGTTACGGTGATAGTCATTAACTGGTAATTATGAATGATAACCGGCGATTATGTGTAATTCCGGGCTGGTGATTTTGTACCAGTACATGGCATCTGCGCTTGTCCGGACGCTCTGTCATACCACACAGCAGCAACGACTGTATTCGCCCCACACTTTTATATGAAAATATCTGGACACGACCTCCAAAAAACTACACTACGAAAAATTGTGAATAATTGTAATTGAGTTTTAAATTTAATAATATTTTACACCTGGTGATGGTTTAATAAAACCGAAACATGTTGTAACTGTTCCAATTGTAAATCGATTATTCGATATGGAACACAGAATGATATTTTAATTATTTTAATTATCTTATTTTAAATACATTGTGATTTGACGGAATAACCAAATAATTAATTTTAATTTAATTTTCATGACAATAGGTGTTTGCGAACATAAAAGTACAAAATTATGCGACAGACGTGTCAATAAATTTCATTATTTAAATTAGCGCCAAACACACTGAAATATATTATCACCAAATCTTTAAGATTTTCCGACATGGAAGTCAAATCCTTGAGACTTAAAACTGCCTCACATTACTGAATTCTGGAAAAACTGAAAATATGATTTTATAACTTGAATTTGTAACTTGTGTTGGGCAAGGCCGGGGTCTAGGCAACACGGAGTTTTCCTCCGGGGGCTTCCCCGGTTTCTCCGTGACATCCCAACAATGACTCCATTCACACACAGAAGAAGGCAATGGCAAACCACTTCTGGATCATCTGCCAAGAACGTATATGAACAGGTCCCAGTCCGAGAAAAGGATGGAAGGATCCTGTTCATATGGACCTGTCGTCAGACAGAACACTAAATAATAATAATAATAAATGAGAAGCATAAATATTCCATCCGCGGCCAAATTTTAAATATTATTACCTGCTTCGAAACTTCTCCCGGTTTATCAGGGAATGTGATGCGTATGATAAACTTAGCATCAAATAATTCTGGCGCTAGTTTGTCAAAATTATGAATGTTATACGTTTTCCGTTTTACGGATCGTCGTTCTATACGGTGATTCGTAGGAACTCAACCCCCCGAGTATAACAAGTGTCACCTGCCCTTAGATAATTAGCATTATTTAATGAAGGCGGGAAAAGTTCACTCACTGCACAGCGTATGTCGTCGTCCCTTCAACAAAAGAACGCATGACATCCGCAGAACAATAGATACATTAATATTAAGGCATTAGAACACACACACCGCATTAGAGACCGCATTACCTGCCGTATAATAGAACGGATATGTCGATATTTGCTGCACAATTGTAAGCTGACCCCATTTAATAATTCACATGGTGTCAAGACGAACAGAGCACAGTGAATCATCTAAAGCAGCCATTTGCAATCTTCCATCGAGACACACACGTAAACTGCACGTAACTTATGATTTAATATTATTTGACTGTAATGTTCCAAATAATAATTCTGAAAGGTTTATATTTTTAACCTTTCAGGATTACAATACGTACGTAGTGGTACTATCTTCTCGTCTTACAAGAGTTGTTATCGCACATTTAAATAACGCAACAACCTAGAGGACAGCCATCTTCGTAGATCTTTTCCAAAGTGTTTCACAGAAAAGAAAATTTACACGGGACATAAAATGTGGGGTTTATTAAGAACTGTGCTGTAATTTATAATATCTTCCGTCTACAAAATACTTAATAAAAACTAAAAATAATTATACCTCTGCAAAGCGGTATCGGCAGTGCTATTAGTGTTATAATAGTACATCTATCTACAACAAATAAACATCAGGACCAATCAGGAATGCAAAATCTCAAGATCGCATTTGGAAACTCCCTGTACTCCACCTTTCCATACTTGTTTGGTGACTGAAGGAATGACACTGAAGTGTAAGGACCTTACTTGGTTCCTTGTTATGCATTAAGTAGCCTTATCATCGTATCTAGAGAGCGGTACTTGTTCAAAAGTGCAGGGCTGGCTATCCATAAAGAGCGCTCGGCCACGAATATCACGCATACAAATACGGTTCTGCGAACCTCATTACGCAAACTTTTATGCGACGTCTGACCTGAAGATGAGGTTTGCTTCTATACTGAGGCTCCACGATGTCTGGGTTGAGTAGAAAGTTCCTCCCTCGTTTGATTCTAGGAGATTTTATAGGGTCCTTGAACAATACGTGAGCAGAGACGGAGTTGTCTGTAAGTGTTAACTCAGGAACTGCTCAATGTATTTCAATTTAATTTGGC